GAAGGAAATAGTTAAATGAAAAATAGAAAATACAACGAAAATTGCCAGGTTTTTCAAGTTATTTCGGAGGAACCTTTACATATTTCTTGCTCGATTGACATGTGTGTGATATAGAAAAAGCATAATATGTTCATTGCAACAGTTTTGAGTTTCGTGTTCTTATGAAAAAAGAGACTTGGCAATTCTTGTAGTCGTGTGCTCGCAGTTGATCAGCTAAAATCTACCATACCTGGGTATAAAACTATTTCGTAGCTAAACATTTTCGATCTATGTTCTGACCCAGAAGAGTGTCAAACGAATAAAAAGTTCAAATTCCAGAAATTCCAGAAATTCTTTTTGAAATTACGTCATCATTCAGCCAATCTTCATTATTGCTGTTGCGGCTGCCTCGACTGGCTCGTCATCTAGAAACAGACAGTTTGTTTATGGTAACAACTTGGCGACAAAATACCTCGGCACCAAACAATTTTACCTCACTGTAATGCATTCATTTATACCACAATTCCTTGAATTCTTAGAAGAAAAGTCATATCCACTTCTGGCAATCCGGTTGCAGAAATACTCAGATTATTAAGGCGTGTTATATCAGATAAAAGCGCGCGGCTTAGAGGCACCGCTCGGATTAAACCTGACATAACTTAAACTCCAGATGTATAAGGCTTTTTTGCGTTTAACTAGAAAACCTTCTCCTTCACTTTCCTATGAGATTGGTTCAAAGGTCCATAAATACTTTCTGTAGAAAACTTTCTATCTTTCCCGATGTCAAAACCCCGTGAATCAATCTTTCGCGCTAACCCAAGAGATAATTTGTTCACCCAATCGTTTTGGGTACTAGGGCTGTCCTATATTTGCATTTACTACTAGAAGTATATTAGGTCATAGTCTGTTCTCGCGATGTGACCACACCTCGTGATTCATACGCCTGGAGCAGGGGTGTGAGGGTTGTGGCACCCCCCAATATTCTTTTGGGGAGAAATGAAGTGAAATTTTGTTTTCCTATTATCCTCGCTTCACTATGATCGCTGCTTGACAGAAAAAAGCAAGGGAAAGTTTAAGATAAAACGGAAACTACGTTTAAGGTTATCTGGAAACTAAATGCAAAATAGAAAGGATTTGACAATAAAAGCTTTCTCTATTCGCAAAATGAATAAACTGAAAACGATTTTAATTTGGTAAATAACATTTCAAAACAAGATGAAACGAAAACAGCATCATTAATTTCAAAGCACCATTGCTAAGATATTGAGTTACATTGTTAAGCTTTATTAAGAAACGTCAATGGAATATTACAATTAAACGGGGTCTCCCATCGAACAAGACGAGTTCGAGGCACTGGGAAACTGCGAAAGAGGACGTGAATTGGCGGAAATACTGGTATCATTACAAAAGATGGAAACATCACTGCAAAGAGAACCATTCTCGACCTTGTGCTGTTCTGATAACCATGTTCGTTCCCAGCCTGTGTATCTATTATTTATCACTGTTAATCATATTTTTCTCATCCTTATTCTTTGTGATTTATTTCCTGCATGAGAGATATGACCCTATCTGCATGTCTGTTTTGTTTTGGATGTGGTAATGCTCTACCATTTCCTAACTCATTAACTCTCTTCCTTTTTCTTCTAGCCACTGGATTTTCCTTAATTTTGTCCAACAAAAGACGCTTCAGTATTAAAATATTTTCTCAGATGTATAGAAGAAGAAGAAATGTGAGTCAAAATTGTTTATTACATTTCAAAAATTGCAATTTGTAAAAATGTGCGTTTGCATTTTGCAATCCCAGAGAAATTTCTTGATCCAAGAAGAATGATAAACGATACATAATTTTAGCAAGCAATTAGCCCTAGCATTCTAGGCCATTAATCATAGATCCAAAAACCAAGGTGTCTAAAGGGCACCTTATTAATTTGAACCCTATTTTAGTTCGATATTTCTTGGCCTCTTTCAGGGCCCGCGCCACTGACCCTAAACTGGAGGGGCCAACAATGCAGGGCCTACGCCACCACTTTTTTGCGAAGCAAGTAGTTTCAAAGCTGCAGAAATAACAGGGGAAAAGCTTTTTTCCCCTACTTTTGCTAGCCATAGCCCCTCAACTTTCAAATTCGAGGCTTTGGCCCTGCAATGTAAAGAAAGGTTTCCTCCTCCAGCTCCAATTCTGGCAAACATTTTTCTGACGCTGTTTTACTTGTGGACTCAATTTCAATGTATTTGCTGTTATCTAAATGGACTTTTGTAGATAATCTGAACAGATTTTGGACATTTATTTAGCAAATGGGGAGGCCATGGCCCTCTGGTCATCCTGTGACGTAGGACTTTCCTTTTCACATTGCCAATTTTTTATTATATCTAGGCTTCATTTAAAATGTTTGTGTAGAAATGCTACTCGTCTCCATAATTGATACTGCTTTATTGGTGTGAATCTGAGTTTCGAGTCCCTACTACGAAGAAACTTTCACATGGAGAGTGGAGAGTTGCCAACTTTCTATACCCCAAGATGTAGGAGTCACGGGGTGTGGTCATATCGAGAGGAAGTATTAAGGCACTGCTCGACAGGCACAACTTTTACGTAGCATCCGGACACTAGATAAGAGCAAGCCGGAATGCAAATACAATACAATGCAGATGATTCCGGCTGTCGAAACGGTTAAGTGTGGCACCGAATCCTCAAATGATTGTATTCGTGCCTATGTTTTACAGATTCTATCGCAAATGGTCAGAACTGATCCAGTTTTGTTTTTCAATCACATGAAACTTTTTTTAATAGATGCAAACATCGCTTGGCCTAACATAGAAAAGCATCATCTTTCTTCAAACCTTTTTACCCATTTAATAACACCCATTTCTCGTCATGTTTCACTGATTTTTCCAGCAGTCAGTAGTACTAAAACGAGTAACATTTATATAAAAGATCTTGAGTTGCACTAAATTAATAAGGAGCAAACAACCATCCCTGTGGTACAACACATTTTTTATACTTGTATTCCTCCATTTCCGTGAGATTCAAGAAGTTTTTCTTGTAAATTTTCTTTATTTTATGAAGTTTGTTACTTTCTGTGCGATTTAAATGCCACATTAAAGTAACATTTTTATAATGATACTTGACATGCCCATCGAGGTTTTACAAAGTCTGACAAATTTTCAATTGCATCCCCTCTTCCGTATCAAAATTTTGTTTCATTTTGTTTCAATAGCCTGACTGCCGTCCGATAGCTTTTGTTAATAGTTAACTCTTCAATCATAATGGTTTTGGTAAAGAGAGAGGCCAGTACCTGCTAGCTGCGTCACAGTCCACACGTAAACAGGACTTATGGTTTGTGATTCAGTGTTTTTCACTCTTCTTACCGGAAACTTCAACTTCAACAACCACGTTTAAGAAATGCGCTATTTTAAAGGCGATAGATACACTTTCTGGATGTCCGTCAATTGATAAACTCCTGTTTCCAGCCTCGATTAACTATATTATCAGAGCATGACCAAAACTTCTCTAAATGTTCTTGAGTCTCTGAACATATTTGAAATTTGCCTTTGTGTTTTCTCATTCCTAATAAATAAAGGGAAAACCAGTAAAAAAGTAATGTCTGAAAAGTGTGTCATAGAAATGTTGTTAAAGTAACTGTTTTAACGTTAAATTGGATTTGTTTCTTTTATCGAGTTTCACTTTTTAGAGAATGGTCTCTATCGCACTTAGAAAACTTTTCTCCTTTGCTACTTGCCTAAAGGATCATCCACTTATTTCACCCTAGGGTAAAAGATCCTTATGATAACCCTTTTTTCAAAAGTTTTATACGCTTACAAATTTTTGCTAGTCATAAAACATCTTCCTTTACAAAACAGGATCCTGAAATTGTCACAGATAACAACAGAATTCAGGAAAATGGAAAACTCTTTCTGTAAAAGGACAAAGCAATGCATTTATTCCACAAAACAGTATTTTGTTTAGTAGTTCATATTTTGTCAAGACTCAAATCCATGACCCCTTTCAGTTGGCACCAAATCCTCTATCCCCTTTCCATTCTACCTGTACACCCAAACGCTTGCCCCCTTTCTGCGACTCCTAATTATAAGTAGAAGGGACAGCAATCTTGTAATCAAGCCTACAGAAGCAAGCTAGCTTATAATATCCTCTCTGAAATATCTTCATGTTCCAAAATTGCTCTTATTTTTCGGAAAATCGTGTCTCTATGATTTTATGAAGTTTGTTCTTTTAAAGAAAAGGAGAGTGGTCAAATAGGTGATTAAATAGGGTGCGGGGATGGCTCAGTGGTTAGAGGCACTGATTACAGACCCAATGGTCCGTGGTTCGAGTCCCTGGCATGACCAAACTTTCATTCAGAGTGGGGAGAGTCGCCGGCTCTCTGTAATTCCAGGCATAGGAATCACGAGGTGTGGTCACATCAAGAGGAAGGACCAGGACACTGCTCGATAAGCATAACTTCTCAATGCCCTAAAACTACCTTCGGATGCTAGGCAGAAACAAATCAAATCAAAAATCAAACATACACTCTCTTTTTCACAAGAACCAGTAAATTTAAGTTCAGGTTGACTGTTCTTTATTTTTTTCGAAAATCTGAGGGTGTAAGCAGTGCTATTGCTAGCTTGTTCGCTCTAAAGAGGTGTTCAGGCCTCATTTGCCAACAAAGTGAGTGAAACAGCCTTAATTTGCTGAAAAATTTGAATATTCACCAAAAAAAGCACCCACACATCGCTAAAAATCCTCGATTTTGAGAAAAAACGTTGTTCAAAATTGCATTTTGCAGAAGTTCAGCCTCAGCTTGTTCTAAATTTGTTCTTAACTTTTGACCAATTTTGAGGCTCGTGTTCTTATAAAATTGTTCTTATAAAAAAGAGAGTGTATTGTGAGAGCCCATGGCCCCTACGAAGGCATCGTCATGGTTTTAGAGAATGATACCCCCTGTTCAGTTCCCACTCTCTCTTTTACCAGAACAATGGCGAAACAAAAGGACATAAAGAGGATCTTACATCCCCCGTTGTGTTTTAATATCTGTATTTGCTTTTGGGTGAAGTTTCATGAAATTGCAGATAAAACTTCATTGCGATCTTGAAGGGTGAACGTGTGAATACCGCGGGAAGTAACTTACACATCACAGGCCTATTAACATCACAGATACACTAAAGATGGAGAGAGTAGTAGCTGGACTTCTACTTTTATTCTTTTTATCAAGTAAGTTGCGAAATATTTTGTTAATTAATTACCTAAACTTCGTTATCCTACAGTAGGAAGTGCACTTTTACCATTAAAATACTCTTTAAAATCTCGTGATATATTTAGGCCCATCGTTTTAAATGGGCTTCGGTGGTAAATGTCATTTAATTTTAGAGAAAACATGTTTAAAAGGAAAGTTTGTAGGACGATAAAGTAATTAAGAATGATTTTGGTGATTTTAATAAGCTTGTAAAGTTTGCTGAAGTAATTTGAGTTGTACTTTGTGGGTTTATTTGAAATTGGGAGTCAAACCTCGAAGAATTAGCATGGAGCTTTAAACTGTTCTAGAGAAGAAAATTAACAAAGTTTCTAAAAGAAGTTAATAATTAATGGTCAATTAGCATTTTCTTGAAAATTGACATATTTTCATGAATAATTGATAGTACCTAATGATTTGTTTCTAGAAAGATCGAGGTTAACGATGAGTCGGTGTGAGAAATTATGAATTCTTTAGGAAAAGTTGAATGAAATTTTAGAAAAAGAGAGGAAACATTATGAATGAGGGAAACATCTGTTTGAATTTTACACAATGCAACCAGGAATTCAGATTGAATTTCATAAACGATAAGATCTTTCCGCCAATTTATCTTCAAGTTACCATCGTAATCTAAATCGTGGAAAAAAGTTACGAGCTTTGAAACAAATAAACGTTTTACACAACCATGTTAAATGTTTTATTATGTTAAATAAATTGCTTTTATTACTATGTCAATTTATGTTTTTCCCTTGATGTTTTGCGATATACTAATATTTTATGAAAACAAACAAAACAATAAGAGAAAACCGCTTTATAATAAACAAAAGAAGAATATTTTCAAATATTTGTTTTTTGATTAGTTAATCGAAAGAAGCATTCAAGGTAATCGAGTTTGTGAGTTGAAAAGTTTGCCAACAAAATACCAGACAAGGAATGCAATCTTTAATGTTGTTTGAATGGTCGAGAAACTTTAATGTTATTTAAATGCTCTGTTTTCTTATGATTTCAAACTTCATAACTAGTAAATTTACTTTGAGTCTTATCTATTAGTTCATTGACAAATTCGTTTATATTGTCATATAATATGTGACATTTGTCATGTGTCACTCTGAAACCTTTCAACAGAAAATTCTTGACTTATCAACGTTTTAAGTTGCCCCGACAAAATTAAGAAATAAATATATCCTTTAGATTTTAGATTGTTACCATGGATTAACATGTTCTTATGGGTAATTTTCTGAGAGTCTTAAAGAAGTAAATGAGGTTTTATTTATTAGTAAGATAATAATATCACTGTGAGTTACCAAAGCATTAATTTGAAGAAAGAAACTCATCAAGACTTTTTCATGCTCTGTGCAAGGATTTGAATCTAAAACTTTGCATTGAATAAAGACTGAAAAATTTTCTCAAAATTTTTGAAAATGTTGACATAGATACCAAAGAATTGATAAAATCAGTTTTTTGTCAACAAGGTATATACTTCAAAACAGAAGTCTCATGATTTTCATAAACGAATGAAAAAACTGTTTTACCAGGTTTTTATTAATTGCTCTTTGTTGTTTGCAAATGCATTTTTTTGCACCTGGATTAAAATTTGTTAACAACGCTTGATTTTTTTGCAATATTCTATACCAAAATAACTATCGAGCAGTGTGTCTCTATGAAATTCGGAAAGTATCTGCGTAGCCATTCAACATTTTGGCCCCTAAAGTGTGTCAAGCAACTTTTCTAACTTGTTAAAGAAACATTATATATATTTTATGTCTCTTTCCTCAACCATTTTTCTTTCCTCCAGTTCTTTTTCATATTAAGTAGCTGTTTACATTTGTGTTCCAGTATAAGGAATGAAAAAACTAGTACACTTTGATTGGTGCTTATCACAGAAAGCGAATCATTACATAGATGCATTTAGATTGCTAAATGCAAGCAGAATTTTAATAGCATTATAACTGTTTCAACATCTAGCAAAAAAAACCTCAACTATTTCCATTAATGGGCAGATAAGTGTCTTTTGGTAGATTTACTTTGAGCAGTTTCCTTTGAGGTCTGGTTTCTGCTTTGTGGCAAGGGCCTTTGGTATAAAGAAATTAGTTTGTCTGCCTCCTTGCAAAGAAAAAAATGACCCGGTGTTTAGTTCTATGACTAAATACTTTGCCCCTCATTGGAAGACTCATTCCGTAACATTAACAAGCTCTTTATCTAATTTAGGCATTAACAAGCTCTTTATCTGGATTCAAATAAAAAGTTCTTAAAATTGATTTTTTATATTCCTTTATTGAAAAGATTGTTGATTTTCAGATATAAGAAATACTTAGCTGAATTTACTTTATGCCAAATTTTATAAGTTTATGTTGTATTTTCAGCTCTTTATTATATTGTTTCTGTTTTAGAGTCCGTTGAAAGAAAAATTCACATGATATTGAGTTGAAATATGTTACAATGTTCTGTTTATCAGTTCGCTTATAGATGTAATATTTTACAAAGATTTTTGGTAAAGCTGCTAAATATTGGGTTTAAAAAAAACTGTTAAAAGTTAACTAACTTATAAGGTATATCTAAACAATGAGAACATAAAAAATGTTTCCTTATATACATAATTTGTAGGAATGTATGTTTAAAATTCTTAGAAAAAGTTTATATAAAAACTTTAATTCTCAGAATTGAGATATGTTCCCTTGCTTTTGTATTTGGGATTAATGTAACTGGGTTATGTCCTAACATGCGAGAAATTACATCATACTATTGGGAAACGTAAACTCTAATCAAATGATCAAAGATTTTCGAAATTAAAAACTTCAGAATTAGTACTATGTATTTGTTTTCCATTCGATAAGGTCAAGTTTTATGTTGGTTGTTCATCTTGCAAATTAGAAGACAATTTTTATGATTCTCTATAGTTTGAGAAATTTAAATTCACCAACTTTATACCGGAGAAGGTGAAAAAGTTTTTCAGCTATCTCATTTCATGTTACAAAGCCAGCATTTTAGAAATTTCTTTCCCTTTCTGCCTATCTCCAAAAATATTCCAAAGATTCAGCTAATCTCTCACACCAAATTCCTTTTCTAAAATTCTTCATTTGGGAATCATGTTACATTACCACGAGAATGCCCTGAGCAGATTTTGCTCAATAGATGACATCTTCTATTGCCATTAGAGAAAAGAATCTGTTTCCGTTTGAGTAATATAAGGTAATTGAATTTGGTTTCATTACCAAGACAAAATTTCTTTAATGTGATGACTCTGATGGGAATGTTTTCAAATATTTCCTGGTTACTGTCATTTCGTTTGAAATCCAGGCATTCATAGTTCCGTGTTAGGTTTGCCAATTTTTTCTCTTCAAATTAGCCGAAAACGGTAAATAGCATTGGAATCTTCATGTTGTCCAATTATGTCCGTGTCAAGAAATTTAACTTCCTTTAGACAACCAGGCTGTGAATTAGGCAGATTTCAATATTTAGATTTTCCTGCGAATTTCACTTGTAAAATTTCACTGCAGCAGCAAATTCCGGTGAGGAAGTTTTAAGAAATATATAAATGGCTTTGAAAAAAGCAAACATTTAGTAAACTAATTGGTCAACCTATACAGTCATGTGCTCGTGTTTTTTGATTGGCCTATTTCGATCACAACTGGGTATATATATTTCTTACCGTAGAGTTTTCGATCTATGTTCTGACGTTTTAAACTCTGAAGAGTGTCAGACTTAAAGCTCTAGTTTACTAAATGTTTGCTTTTTCAAAGCCATTTACAAGTTTTGTACCACCAAAAGATTGTTTAAATATATAAATATTCAAAACGTTAAATCTCGGAGCTGAACTGTTCAAACGACATAAAGTTTTCACGAAAGACTAATTTCAGCATGATGATTTAAAAACTGGAAACCATTTTTGAAAAATATCTTTAGATAACGAGATAAGAAATTGATAACGTCAACTTTGTACCGGGAATTGAAACTTGGGCCCAATTATAGAAATATATCCGCTATAATACGATACGTATTATAAAGATTTTGTTGTCATGGTAACAGCTCGCATTAATGGAGGCAAGCCAGAGGCAGTCTTGTTCAAACACGTCTAGCCCAAACATTCCTAGCACATATTTTGCAGGCATGTTTATTTTAGAATCGTCAATCGAAACTGCTTACTCATGAATCTCAATGTGTGGAGATTGCTCGAAACATATTACTCATATCAAAATCAAATATCTCTGCCGGAAGTTTCATGCCAAGCAGCAATTTCCATCCGCATTTCAAAATTTACGAGTTTTTTTCAGAAACTCAGGAAGCTTTTGTATTTCAAGGAACTGAATACACAGAATTTCGTTTGTTCTTGATTTTTTTGGGAGAGGAAGAAGGTGGATGTGAATAAAGAAATCCTACCAGAACCGATAAAGTTATCAAAGAAAGAACTTTTCAACTTTTATAGCATTCAAGAAGAAAATTTACTTTTCTTCAACGCTAAGTTTCTTGATATTTCTCCACCATATTGAAAGTTTCTTAATACACTAACAACCCCAGTTCTTGAGTATAAAAGGTTTTATATTATGTAATGAAATGCAACTAGCAAAGATTATAATTTTAAACATCCCGAAAAACACCCGATTTTCTCCAACCGTGATTTTTAGTCTTTTGCTGTTAGAAGGGATCTCATTTTCGTCAAGAAAATTTGCCAATCAAACATTTTTAGGGGTGATTTTTCATATAAAATGGGGATTGCCTTATAGTCAATTTTCTACACCCCTTGTTACTAGAGTTTATTGAGGGCTTAGAGTTATTCTTTTGCCTGGTATTAAACTCGAAGCTATGAAATCTGAACGAAAGGCGATTTTTCCTATTCCACGAACACTCCACGAGGAGCTTTGACCCCCTTGTTTTATGAAATTCAAACTGGACCCCCGTGCTTTTAATTCCATTACAGTTACAACCACATCTCTATGGTTACAACTCACATACATCCACGCCTCCCATGAATTAAAAAGAATTC